GTTTTCTATAGGAGCCAAGATTATTTCAAAACTGTTTCCAGACCACTGCAGGGATGGGAAGATTTCAAGATCTAGTTTTCCTTCTCATCCTAAAGCCTGACTTTTAGAAATCAAGGTTATATATACACCATTCCATTTCAAAAAAAATCTGTGATTTTCAATGAGTGCACTTTCTCTCTCTCTCTCACACACACACACACACACACTCACACACTCTCTCACTCACTCACACATACTCTCACACTCAGGAGGCGCGTGAGCTCCAGGTAAGATCACGGTCTATAATGGCTCACATCTCTACCATTTCCTTTCATATTCTTTCATTCGTCTGTTTTACACTGGTTTGTTGAGAGTCATTATTTTGCAAATTCTTGATGCTCTGAGAAACACGGGGAAGCAGAGATTGGGTATTTGAAGTTTTCACACTCCAGAAAAAGATAAAAACAAGCAATAACATTACCAGAGTGTGGTTTAGTATGTAACAAAACAAGATTAAACTAGCCGTATTATGAACCTTTTAAGAAAAGAGCAATTATGATGTACAAGTTGCTACCTTATAAGGATGAAGTGAACTCAGTTTTCATTCTATAAGACAAAAAGATTGAAAAAATAATAGACTCAATAGGTTCTGATCTTTACTTTGTTGTCTGTAAACACGGCTTCTTCGATCCTTGCCATCATTTTTTAACAAGCTTTTGAGCAAGTTGAACAAGTTTACTGAAATGTAAACTCAAAATCAGAAGTGGATACCAGACTCTTGGAATTGTGGGGGACGAAAAAAGAGCCACAGCTGACAGCTGCAAGGCAAAGGTGTGAAAGGAAAGGTTGATAAGGACAGTTTACTCTTTTTATTTCTGCTGCCAATTTTAAATCCACGTGCAGTGGCGGGAAATACTTTTTCTTGGATGGCATCTCGATTTTGGATAGAGGTAATGGAGTAGGTTGGGCCCCAGAGTTCGACAAGACACAGTTTGTTGAAATTTGAGATCTTCCATGTCTCTCCTTATAGCTACCATTTCAGAGTTGATTTCTCAGTTTGGATTTGCTATTCTCTTCTTTCCCATAAAATATTTGGAAAAATTGAAAATTCATTTTTATGGTGATTAAAAATGACAAAGCAGTTTAGGACTAAGGGCAACTCACCTGAGGGAGACTTAGCTCCTGAAGAGGACATCCTCAGGGTCCAAAGGGAAGCTGTTCTCTTTGTTTCTTGACTAGTAGAGAGCAAACATATTTTGTGGCATTTTTATATCCAAGGTGGCATGGTTTTTGATAAATCTAAATATTGTGGACCCCAAGCCACTAATTGTAGTAATAATTTGCTTCTCTATAATTTAATAAGGAGAAATAGGAAGCGAAGAGAAAATGAAGAACAATGAAATAACTTTCTTAATGTGCTCAGGGTCCTAGTTTTTGCCTTAATTCCCACCATTTAGGCTTTTCTTATTAGATCCATAAAATCCCTGGTCCAGAAACACTGTGAAATGCAATCTTCAAAGTTGACCTTTGTGCTCCAGGAGAGAAAATACACTCGGAAGACATGTAAGAACTATTTTCCTGTAACTGTTACGGCATTTTCCCTATTGCATTGACGTATATTTCTTTGCATATATTTTCTAAAATAACTTGAGTTTCTCACGGAAGTAACAAGGTCTTTTCATCTGTTTCTTAAAATATCTGGAATAACTATGAGCTGATCATAGAATGTTGCCAATGAATCCAAACATTCCTAAAGTATCCTGTTGTCTAGGATTTAACATTCTTTACATTTGTAAAACAAACAAACAAAAAATTCAGTGATATATAGTCTCATATCCAAACAACAAATGTTGAAAAGGATAGTTTAATTCTACAGATTCTACACAATGTGTTTAACGTGTTGGACAGCCAGAGTGAAAGGCTTAAATGATGCTTCCCTGTTCAAAACAAGGAGTGGTTTCCATGATCTCCATGGGATTAGATCTGGGTTACAAACTATCCTAAGTGAATCAGCAGTTATGTTTTTAATTTGCTGGGTTTTTTTTTTCCCTCCAGATTTACTAAAAAAATACCCAAAATAAAATTCTAATTGGCTTCGGTCCTTGGAGAAAGGTAAGAATGTTACATATTGTGTCATATCTTTGGAAAGGAATAGAATAGAAAATCAATGAGAGACCTTTCTTTTCTGCTCTTTTCTTCTGTTTATTCACGGGAGTTCTGATAACAGACAAGGTACCCAATCAACTATTTTAATAGGATTTGAATTTCCTTTTCAGTGACTCAGCTAGTATTTACCCTCATCCCTAACACTCAAGCACCCTACCTTCTTCACAGTTATACCACAGGAACTAGAGTAATAACAGGCACGTGGTAGGTGTGTGATTAATTTCTGCTGAATTAAACTTACACAGATTTAAGTTTAAATGATCTTATTCTATATCAGATGTTGGCGAAATTCTCAATCTTGGGCTTTCTAAGAA